TAGGATTTTTTTATTGTGTTTGAACCGGAAAAGGTCATCTACCATCTTGCAGGGTTTGCAATTTTTTTCTGCATATCAAGTACATGATAATTTTGCGCACGTAGCGATAGTAGAAGGAAACAAAGTTTTATTGAATATTTCTCTATGAGTCTGGATCGATGGTATGTCCAGATTATTTTGATATCTTATACAATACTGATGTGTTACCTTGCTTGGTAAAAATGAGGATAAATATGGAGGAGCAAGTCCTTTAATTATTTTATAAAATAAAATAAATTTATGTTGAAGAAACAGTTTATCTATTAATGGTAACCGAATTTTTCTCAATGTTATTGTCGAGAAAAACAACGGTGTGCACAACGCACCCCCTATCACTCCTATCATATGGCAACAAAAAACGCCATTGTCGAAGGAAAGAACTGAAAAAAAATTAGAAGAAAATCTTTCAAATTATTTTCACTGCCATTCGTCTCGGTGACAGTGAGATGAAGTGTTAGTTAGTTTAGACTTTATTCATGAAAGAGAAATAAGAATAGTCATTTTACACAGATGCGGCCTAGGCCATTATACCAGAGGAAAATGACATGGTAAATGATATAAGCTATTACAGATGAAAAGCACGAAAAACAAGCGGCAAAGACAGAAAATGTATGTAAGGAAGCGTCAACGGACGTTTGAGCGACCGACACTTGAGCGATCTCGACATCTGAGTGGCGGACATTTGAGCGAACGCCTTTGTCGCGAACAGGACCCCGATTCTTGCACGAATTTTTCGTAGTACACATTTGGATATTTTTGGCAGTGTTTCGTGGGAGGTGGGGGTATGGGCAGTATGAGAGTGAGTTCAAAAAGTAGCTTCACACAAAACATGTAATCATCGTGCGAAACTGTATATCTGTAACTGTATCACATAGTGCCCATTTACCACATAACTTCACTTAGGTATCATATCGATCGCTAAAGTGTCGGTGTCGCTCAAATGTCGGCGCTCAAATATCAGTCGCCCAAACGTCGGTTAATCGTAAGGAAGAAGGCTAGAAGAATAAAAAGATGCACGCTAAACATTAAGGTATTGTGCAGACGTTAAGCAAAAGCGTAAGGACAGTGTAGAGAACATAACAAATTGGGATGGTTAGTGTAATATTTAAAACGTTTTGTAGCAATTATGTAATCGATAACCGATCTGACTACAACTATAAAGATGATGTATACAAACCATTTTCGTTTTCATAACGTTTTAAATGGTATTGTTTACGCTTCATTAATGTCATCAAACCAACTAAATAAGAGAGACAGTGAGAGACTTTTTAGTTTTAAATCGTTTACTCTTCCTATGATTTATTCAAAAGCATATTATTTAATTATTTGTAACAGTTTCGACTTCGATGAAGCTTTTATCGGACAAAATTATATGATATATAAATACATATCGCAACCAAGTATAGACTCCACATCAGATGTATTCAATTTGATATAGACGGCTTTAGAATATGTTTTTTTTTCATATATTATTTCACACTTTTGCTACTGATAAACCGTTATTTTATATCTGCTTAAATATGTTTGGAGGAAAGATTCCATTCTAGATTCGACCGCATCAGAATTGACAAATTCACTGACAAAATTTAGTGTGGAGTTCCAGTCTAACCTGAATCTAATACGGACTTTGACATATAGGTATGCACCACTTTCAGTTTTTAACTGTGAGAACTGGAACTGTTAGAAAAAAGTTTTGAAATGAATTTAAAAGAAATTTTAAACTGTATTAAAGAAAATACGGTAAAAAAATTAAAAATATTTTAATAGGAAGGCTTTTCGAAGTTGAAGTTCATGGAATACAAGTAATTGATTATGGAGCTTAGAGATATGTAAAATGCACAGAATATTTCATAAAGATCGTAGTAGATTATTTGAATCATAGGAGCAGTTCCGTTAGGAGCTCCATGATCAATTAATTACTTATACTCCATAAACTTCAGCTTCGAAAAGCTATTCCTATTAAAATGTTTCTGATTTTTTTACCGTATTTTCTACAATAGAATTTAAAATTTCTTTCAAATTCATTTCAAAACTTTTTTTCAGTTTCAGTTCTAAACAGTTTCAGTTAACGGGAACTGGTGCATACCTACTGACTATAAGAGAGTGATAAATTTGCTTGGATATTCCAGTTCAACGTTTTTATGCAGTATCAACTATATCTTAGAAAAATATAACTATTTTACTAGTTATAGTACACGTATAATGATGATGATTTGCTTTTGTTCGAGCTCGGTATCTTGTCAAAAAACAGAGTTATGAAGGTTTTCCTCAAAACTGTTTGATTAACGGTACTTCTTAGCAAATTTACTTGCATACTCTAACTTATACTTGACAATTTGATACAATATGAGATGTCAATAACAAAGTTTTGACACAGAGGACATATTGATGACTTTCTTAAGATTATTAAAATGAATACTGATGGATCTGTCGATTATTCTGATAGTAGTACGTATTACCATCTTTTGTATAGAATCTAACCGATGGGCGAAGCTCAATACAACGTCGTAATAAATTTAGATTTTCTCTCGTAAGATCTTCACGTACTGTAACATAATAGTACTCAGTTTCATTAAGATATTGACGATTTTTATAAAATAATTCACGTGAACGATAAGACATGAAACGAACGATTATAGGACGAGGAGTAGATGATTGAGGATTATATTTACCAACACGATGACTTCGTGATATGTCAATTTCATACACGGGTATATCAAGACACTCAGCAATGTGTAATATCATTTC